GGGGGAATGGGGGAGGGAAAGGAGGCAGGAGGCGGGGCCGAGCCTGAGCTGGAGCCCGAGGCGGCGGTTGCAGCGGAGGCGGTGATGTCCGTGCAGGTTGTGTCAGCAGCGGCTGCCGCCAAGGTGCCTGAGGTGGAACTGAAGGACCTGAGCCCTTCCGAGGCCGAACCGCAACTAGGACTGAGCACGGCGGCTGTGGGCGCCATGTCTCCCCCGGCGGGCGGCGGGGACCCTGAAGCTCCAGCTCCGGCCGCCGAGCGGCCCCCCGTCCCCGGCCCGGGCTCGGGACCCGCCGCCGCTCTCAGCCCAGCCGCGGGGAAGGTGCCTCAGGCATCGGCCATGAAGCGGAGCGACCCGCATCACCAGCATCAGCGGCACCGCGACGGCGGCGAGGCCCTGGTCAGCCCCGACGGCACGGTCACCGAGGCGCCGCGTACAGTCAAGAAGGTATCAGGGCCGGGCTACTACCTCTGGTGGAGAGGCTGGGAGGGCGAGGGCGAGCGCAGAAGCTCCGCACGGCGGCGCTCTCCACGCCTTCTCTTCTGGTCCTGGGAGCCCAGGGACCCCTTTCCCCCTCGAACCCACTGTCCCAGAGGTGCCCTCTCAGGCCCCAGTGCTGGGCAGCGGCCGTCCTTGGCGATGTCAACATGGAGGCAGCGCTCTCCTCTGCTCCGTGGAATAGGCAGGGTGGGGAGAGGCACCTAGTACTACGCCCCCCCGCCCCCCAGCACACTTGTATGTCATGTTCCAGACTCCAGGGAGGAGACCCCGATGGTGTAGGGAGTCCTTACAGTTATGAGAGCTCACCCAACAGCGGTGGAAAAGGGCTTGGCTACTTGGAGAGCGAGTACGTTGCAGGTACGCGGGTTGCAGTCCTGAGTTGTCTGGGGTTGTAGAGAGCGTGGCTCCCACCCCGCTGTGGTCGACCGCTCCCAGAGAGCACTAAGGCTGTGGCCGTCATCTCGAGACAGCGCACCACCCCGGATTCTTTTGTGACTCTAGAAGGGTCATGCAGAAATCTCTTCACTCCTTTCCCCTCTGGGTTTTTACACTTTGCTCGGGATTTTTAGGCTGGGTGTGGAGGTGGTTCTTCTTTTTTGTTTTTTTAAATGATCCGAATGTGTTAGGAAGAAATATTTTTACTTTTGGGAAAAACGATCGCTGGGCGGCTTTCTATCTCAGCTGCCAACTTCTTTCAGAAATGAGTTTGAAGAGACAGTAGCCATAGACCACCAAGGAGTAAGTGAGCCCGGTGGAATGATAACTCCGTATTACCCTCACTTTGGCTACCCATGTGTGTCACTTTCTCTCTTAAAGCTAAACCAACACAGTATAACAAAAAGGCAAATCTTTGCAAAGATTGTGTGGATCCCATAAAAAGGGATTATGGGTCTAACTGTGCAGACACGATATGAAAACCATGATTTGTGGTTTTCTTGTTGATAGTTCTGAATGGTTTTTAATTGCTTTGTTAGAGTAACAATACCATGATGAGAAGTCTGCATTGGTTTCTCTGTGTAGAAGTCATCTGAATTGGAACCTTGGGTTCAGCTAGATGTACCTCATGGTTCAGGTGTAAGGCAGATGACCTTTTCATTTAACTACCCATAGGTGACACAAATGATGTCAGAGGCAAGACTCAGAGTTTGTTTAATGATGGGTTAGGACAATGGCCTTGTGGTTTACAGGAATTCCAGAAGGTTAGAGAGACAGCTTGAGTGCTGGAGGTTATCCCTGTTGGTAACTAATAACAACAAGTGTCTTTTTTTTGTGTGTGTAAAATCTATAATCGGATTAGATCTCTTGAGGGTAAAACATTCTCTTTTAGGACATAGGGTTTACAATCAAGCAGACCTGGGTTTGAACCCTAGTTCCATCCCTAACTAGCTTTTGAGTAGTTTCTACATTCTTTAAATCTGTTTCCTTTTCTATAACATGAGGGTACTAGTACTAGTGAGGATTAGAAGTATCTGTAAAGGGTTTAGCATTGAACTGAGCACATATAGTAGGGATATGTAGGAGAAATGATAGCTATGGTTCTTATTATGAAAAATTGATTTTATTTCATTCCTCCCATCATAGTTTAAATGCATATCACCATGACCTCTTCTGAAAGGTACACACAGTTCAATAGATTCTATACAAAAAGTTAAAAAAAAAATCACAGACTAGCATATGAGAGTCTGTTTTTCTTAATTCTAACTATATTTCTTGCCCATTTTTCCTGCTCCTGAAGCACCTTCCTCCTTCCTCCATAAATATGTAAGATCCATGATTCTAGACTTACTCAGCAGCCCCAAGCTGTGGGAGACAGGGCTCAGCTTGCCCGCTATGTTAATTGCACCAAAAAACCACTTTCTGGCTGAAAGTTAACCAGCTAAAAATCTGAGCAAGCATACAGCTGTATGACACAATTAAGGACGTTGATAGAGCTACTTCTTGGGGGACAGAATGTTCGATTTTCTTGAGATTAAATTAGTTAAGTAAAAATAAATGCATTATCTTACCCTTCTTTCCCCAGGTTTGAAGTTGCCTCACCAAGGGATTGCAGTATAACATTTTGTTTCTTTGAGCTTCCCTTGATTCTCAGATGATCTATTTAAATAATCTTCTGACCATGATTTCCTTCTGCTTTTTATTATAGTGTGGGGAGGTACTGGGGAATGGAGTATCTGCCTTAGGCTCTGTAGCTGGTAACTGTTGCTTTTCTTTTGTAACTGTCACATGCAGGCTGTTTATTTTAAGTCACATTTCCATTGATGGTTTTCCTTCCTCCATTCATGCATCTCTTCTCTGTTTTCTTACATCTACTCAGCCACAGCAAGGGAAACAAACTTCTTATAGGAGCCAGACTTCCCAAGTTTTGAGGAGTTACTCACAAGAATGAGCATGTGGTACGTAGGTTCCTCAGCCACGTCTTCTCTTTGGCACCTACTTCTGTTCATCTAGTAGCTTGTGCTGGGGCCAGATCTTGTTATTATGGCAATGGTGAATTTGTGTATAATGTCTTTCTTCATAAATTCACAGTAAGTAAACCCAGCAAACCAACAGTTTCTGTGAGAAGTGATTTGTGAAATGAGAGGACAAGTTGCAGGCTGAAAGCAGTGGCAGTAGTTGGGAGGATTCCTCTGTACTCTTGAAAGTAGCCCAGCAGGCGAAGAAAGGCAGAAGTGGATATACATTACAATGTTCTGATGTTAGGACTCAGCTACTCTGTGCTTACATCAGAATCAGTGATGATGGTGTTCAATCAAACTCTGTCTTTTGGCAAAGTACCCACTTTGCACTGGCTTTGCTGCCGTCAGGAGAGAATGGGTGGAGCCATGTTACCACTTTCTTGCCCTGAATTCTTTGCGCTCTTGATTTAGGTAATTATAGATTACTGAAACGGAGTGACTTGGATCGAGGCATGGAATATGGGAACAGTAGGACTCCTTTTGCTGCAGTCTTGCAAAGTGTTCAGCAAGGCAGTCGGCCTAATGTAACTAGCCTTTTATGTGCCAGCAATTGCTATAGATGTTTCTCTAATGCTGACAACACAGTGAGATGCAGATGGCATTGTTTCCATTTTACAGATGGGAAGATGAGGTCCAGAGACCTGAAGTGTCTTGCCCATGGTTGTTGTTGTTGTCGTTATTAGGTGCTGTCTAGTCGATACATAGTCATAGCGACCCTACATACAACAGAACGAAACACTGTCCAGTCCTGCTCCATTCGCACAATCTTTGCTGTGCTTGAGCCCATCGTTGCAGGTGCTATGTCAAGCCATCTCGTTGAGGGTCTGCCCAAGGTTATACATCTAAAAAATGGCTGAGGTGGGACTTAGACTGAAGTCTGTCTCTGTCTAAAGCCTGTGTCGTTTTCATTATTCTACATTGACTCTTTCTAGCTTCTTAGATACTGGGTCCTGGCCTTCTCCCAAAGGCTTTTAGAATCCTCAGCAAATGTAAAGTGTTTCTCAGTGGCTAAGGCTTAGGTCATCCCAAACCAGGGAGGTCTGAGTCAGGGCTTTAAGAGAAGGATGGGGGGAAAGCAAATTTGCCAAATATCAAACCTCAGGGAGCTCTGGTAGCATAGTGGCTAAGGCACTTGACTGCTAACCAGAAGGCTGGCGGTTCAAACCCCCCAGCCACTCCTCGGAAGGAAGGTTGGGCAATCCTACTTCCGTAGTGATACTGCCTCGGAAACCCAAGGAGGGGTCGCTATGAGTCAGGGCCGACTCGACGGCACATAACAACAACAACAACATTGGAAAATTAAAAGAGGGAAAGAAGAGTGTCTTATATGTAGAATAGTGTTTTCAGATAGTGGTACAGCTTTCACATTAGTAACTTAATGGCAATCAGGAATTTACCCTTGTTTTCTGGAGTTACAAATGGGTCTGGAGTACCTGAGAAACAGGCTCCCCCTTCCTGTTCACAGCTTTTCTCAGTTCGTTAAATCCCACCTTCTCTATGAATCACTCTCTAACTAAAACTTTTGAAAAATCAGACAACGTGAAAATGAGAAAAAGAAGCATATTAACCGTTATGTATTTCTGCTGTGCACCAGGCATTGTAGTTAGAGCTTCCCGTACACTATTGTATTTAATCCCTTTAAGAGTCCTCAGAGATAAGTACTATCATCCTTGTTTTATTAATGAAGAAACTCATGGTTGGAGAGGATAAGGAATTTGTCTCAAGGATACATAGTAGTGTGTTAGAGCTAAGCGAACCCTAATTTGTCTGGCTCCAGAGCCCCAACTCTTATGTTGCTTTTCAAGTGAAATGTTTCTTTGTTCAAAGCTCAGGATTGTACCTTTTAAATCTCTAGTTACTCTGTATATATTTTTTGTGTGTGGATGTATATTGCTCTAGCAGAATCCACAGGGAGTTAATTTTTGTTTATTGAATTGTTGAAACCTTTTTTTACCATGTATGTATGTGAGCATTTATGAATTTTCTGCGCATTTATGAATTTTCTTATTTTGAATAAGTAAAATTTGTGAATTGTAGTCTCCTTGAATTTGGGAAAGCATTAGAAAATTAAGAGCTGTTTTAAGAAGGTGCACAGGGCTGAGGTTTCCATTGTATGGTTGACATCTTGAGGAAGATTGCTTAGGTCCTTAAACCAAAAACCAAACTCATGGCCATTGACTCAGTTCCGACACATAATGAACCCTCCTTGGGTTTCTGAGGCGGTGTCACTACAGAAGTAGATTGCCCAGTCTTCCGAGGAATGGCTGGTGGGTTTGAACTGCCAGTCTTCTGGTTAGCAGTCAAGTGCCTTAGGTACTACACCACCAGAGCTCCTGCTTAGGTCCTTAGTGGATGGTTAATTGAAGAAATAGTAGATCCTGAAAAAGGGAAAATAAAATTTTCCTTGAATGTGATATTCTAATAGAAGAAAAAAAAGGGAGAGATTTAGAATCTTTATCCAGACCTTTGTCAAATTGAGTTTATTAACTA